TTTGCAAATTTGCACTATAATTTTTTTTTTTTTTCGTTTTTTACTGTATGTCATACAGAGGTCGAGTTCTTGTTATCAATAATCTGGTTTCTTCTGCTCTGTGGCACCGGTTGACTTGTGTTGATCCCCCAGTTACCCTCTTGTCTAATAAAACCGTGCTCATGTTAATATGATGTGTAAATTGATTTATTCTTGTACCTCCGTGCCAGAGTGGCCAAATTCATTACCCCAGGGAAGAGGTGATCATTATCTCTTCATTTTAATAAATTGAGCCGTTCTTTGTTCTCCACAACAATGTCACAAAAAGGTTAATTCGCAAAAATCACAATTGGCTGTATGTAACCAGCAATACATCAAAGTTTGATGCAAGGGGCACCGAAGAAAACTATTTGCAAAAGATGTATACAGTGAATATTAAAATGTTTAAAAACTAATCTGATATACCTGACATAATTTTGAGTATAATTAGTTTCTATTTATGTGGATATAGTACATGTGTAGCATTCATTTGATTTTGACTCAAATACATTTACATTTTTAATGGTAAATACCAAAAAAAAGGGGTTTTATAAGAAACAGTTTATTTAAAAACATTCAGGAACATTGTACATGTACTTTTTTGTATTTAAGTGGTTGCAACCTGTTACTGTAGTGCACAAAACAATGTCATGAAACATGTCACCAATATAAAGGCAGTAGAATTAGAATTATAGATAAAATACATTTTATGAAAGTTTGACCATATTTGACCCAAAAGAAGAGGTCAGAGGTCCAGAGTAACCTGATATTTACAAACCCCATGTATCATTGGCTACATGCTGTCAGTACCAACAATGACATAGTTTTTTAATAAATGTCTCTATATAACATTATCATTACTCTGACTTTCAGGTTGATCTGTTGAAGTTGGGGAGAGGTCAGAGGTCAAACATGACATGATATTTAAAATTTTTATACTTTATAAATGTTACACAGTGCACTTGTACAAGTGTACAAGTTTTAAGACTTTTTGTCAATTTTCCACCAACAAGTCATAAAGTTGACCTTGTTGGACGCAAACCAGATTTCAATGGGTTGTTATAACATCATCCTGCTCTACACCCTACAGAGTTTTTAGAGCTGTTTACAGACAGAACGTAATGCAAACACCACCAAAAACACGAGCTCCTTTTTGAAGGTAATAAGAAAGTGCTGAACTATCTACACATGCTCTGTAGTGATCTGGTGCAATATGCAATCAAGGTCAACCGTCCCTGTGTTCGTCATGCTCAGTGTTTATCTGATAAACACCAAGGAATGTGCAGCAGTGAACGTTAGAAACTGATCAGACTTGAGTGTCTGGTTTGCAGTGACTCGTTAATCATTGTCTCAGTTCCTGTTTCCTGCTCAGCTACAACGATTCATTTCACTTTAACAGCAACAGTTTGGATCACTGTGTCTTTATCTGTGGTAAGTCTTTTTTTATTTATTTGTCTGGTTCTTTGCTGTTTTGTTGTTTTGTTTTTTGATTCAGAGAACAAACAAACAAAAACATTATAAAAAACACTAAATATGTGGTTAAAGAAAAAAAAAGTGATTTTTTTTGTTGTTTTGCTGTCAAATCGTGAGCACATACAAGATGACAAATGTCTGTCAGTTGTTAAAAACTCCCACAAAGCTCCAAATGTAGCAGCAAAGTGTGAGAAAAGCTTTATTTATGTTTATAAATAACTGTTCTTGGAGTCGTGCAGAGACTTGCACTCAAAGCAGGACTTTGTCGATCGAGGTGACTTAAAATAAACTCTGAGCTTTCAGTTTTAGTTATGTACCTAAGTTACACTGCTATGGAGCAGGTTAATTTCAAAATAAAAGGTCATAGTCTAAGCTTATCTGTGTTCCTGGTGAGTGTTTGATGGGTCACCTCCATCCTTGGCTGAGCCTTTGTGCTTTTCTTTAATGTATTTGCCAAATAGAGATAAAACACAGAGCTGACTGCAGCAGGTTTCTCAGATTTTCTTTCAGGCTGGTGCCGATTGCTCTGCTGTGTAGAGAGTGGGCAGAGTCAACTCACATGAATTGTTTCGGTTTCTCCTCTGAAAATGACTGCTTGATACAAACTCTTGAGAACAAAAGTCAGTTTACTCCTCAGAAAAAATCCTGAAAGTTTGGAGGTGTTTTGTTGATTTTAAGCTTTAGACTCATCAGGTTTGTTCTGCACTCTGTCAATCATAGCTAGAGGTCCCTTTTCTGCTTTCAAAGGAAAATATAGTAGGGGCTTGATGGGTGAGAGCACTAGCACAAAGACTCACAGTTCATGCTGAAAAAAAACCCAAAAACAAAACCGGTTACCCTGATGATGACATATCACCCGCAATCAGTTGTGGGAGTGTGACAGTCAGGCATTAGTACAATGTCAGCAATGTTACTCTAGTCAGTGAAACGCAGCATTTGGCTGCGTTATAGCTTGCAACATGGATTTTTGCCAGAAATCTTCTTTTTTAAAATCTAGAGTCTTTTAGTCTTTTTCTCATCCATACTCTGCTTATGCATTTTGCACCATTTCGATACCTTTGTGTACAAAAATCTACACTCTCAAAATCTGCCAGAAAAACCTCAACCAACAATATTTCGTCTGCTTTTTTTCATATATCACTTGTATTAAAGTATTCACAAGTATTAAATTATCTTCTGGATTTTAAGCCTTTAAATTCTACTTTATAATGTTTGAATCATTTACTATTTATTGAACTGTAAACTCACAAAAAATAAATTTCCATGTAATAAATTAGATGAGGATGGGACATTGGGGGTGATTAGATTATTGGACATGTCAAAGAACAGACACAAAATGAATTGTATTGCATTATTATTATTGAGAAGACAGCTCTCGCCTTTGTCAGCTTCAGCGTTGGAGGGAAGCTCCGGCTTGTTTGCCTTGATATTCCCTACCAGTATTATTCATGCTCTGCTGATACAGAGTATATGGATGATACTGGGCAAGGGAGTAGGTTATGAAAAAATTATAACAAGTAAGTTTGACAACCTGGAGCCTCCTTGTGTTGATAAGGACAATTGAGTCGGTCATCAAATCGGAAGTTGGTGCTTACTATCTGACGTGGTGGCCCTGAAGATTGGTTACCCATTATGCTCATCCCACAGGATGGGATGAGGATAGATTCCCCTTTGGACTGATACACATCTGCTAGGATGAGAAGTCCTGTGTACTCAAATCTCTTCACATCACTCCATCCTGACATCGAATGCCTAACTTGAGGTTTGTCATTTACAAAATCAATAGCATCATGTCAGGAGAGAAGAAAAGGTCCGAAGTGGCCACATGATAGATTCTTAAAATTGAATATCTTGTGGGCCCTGGCATCATGCTGGGGGATGCCTGAATGAAGCACAACATCCTTGGCACGTAAAAAAAAATTGCAAGTACAAGTATTGAAGTACAAGTAAAAGTATTTTATTTTGAGGAGAAATTTATTTTGAGCAAAGAAAAGCTCAATTTGAGTGAACAAAATTTATTGCTGCATGCAAACAGTGTATTTCAGTGTTTGCTATTATTCATATACACACACAGTAACAGCCCCTCTAGCTCTGTTTTTGCATTTGCTCTTGGTCAGATCTCTGGGGACCTGCTCGCAGTGTGTCGCTCGCACTCTCCACATCTCTGCTCCCTGCATGTTCAACTCTTTCTGCACACCAATAACAGACTTGGATGCAAAAACTTCTGATTAGCTGTTTTTGTCTCCAATCAGCTTGCTCGCTACTGCATTCTGGGAAAACTGTCCAAAATGTATCTAAATCCAGTGGCGTGGTTTGGTTTAAACTAGCTTAAAAGCAACAATAGTCTTTAAAATAAAATAATTAAACATACTAATCAAAAATGGGGCGGTTTCTCAAATTTCAAGTAAACGAGTCGGCACTCGCGTTCAGACTTCGCAAGTCCAGACTTCCTGAGAACGCCAGTTTTTACTGCCATTCCCTCTTCATTTAACTGTGATTAATATTTGCAATTGAAATTACACATGATGTAGATTTATTTTTTTCAGATAACTTTAAAAAGCACTTTGGCCAAAATTCGCTTTTACATATCAGGTTTCATAATGTCTAATAAACTTCATACAGTTAAGCACAATGACTCACTACATGACAGAAACACAAGCTTAATCTCTCTCTCAATAAAAATTGTACACATGTATGCCTGAATAACAACAAACAGGTGAGACGTTGGAACGCTTTTGTTTTTATTTTAGTAGACACACAAAACTGACAATAGATGGCTGGATCTTGGAAGAGAGTTGAACAAATATTTAACGTATAATCTGATCATTTTTGTAGCAGCCTTCAGGATCTCCATGTATTAACATGCTGTTATTGCTCCCGGTGAAATGTTTCCTCCTGAATTTAAATATTTTTATGTTAGATTTAATTCAGAGTCAGCTGTTTAACTAAGAACAGAACATTTTACATCAGGGGCTATGATGGATGAAATTCAAAATAGACTGACAGCTCTCCAAGTAAGACTTCAGTATTAAATAAAACGGTCCAGTTATAAAGCTGAACTTTAATTTCAGCCAAACCAATTTACTCAGGAACAAATCAAACACTGAAATAAACCAAACATGAACATTTAGAAGTGATCTAAGTGACTTATATATCATGTTTAACCCAAGTAGTGAAAGACTGAGAGGGGTTTGAAAATGATGCGCTGGGATTCTGTGCCTTGACCACCCAGTCAGCTGGTGGGTAAAAGCCATCTTGAAAAACGTCAGAGCACTTTTGCAAATATGTGATGTCTTGATAAATCAAGCAGATAGTTGAAGTTTACATAGCAAAATTCTCACCTGAAAGTATCTTAAAAGTGCCAGGGCTCAATGGCCCATGAAAAAGGAATGGACTCAAGCACAGAACCAAAAACTGGACCTAAGTGACGGGCGATGGAATATATAGCGGACCAGGAACACTGGAACAAAGGAGATAATAATCAGAGTGGTCCGCGGCGTTGTAAATGAATCTAAGATTTCAAAACTAAGAGGTCTTACGTGGCGGCAGGTGGAGATTAGCTGGAGGAGGAGGTGATTTAGATGAAGGTGAGTACAGAGTGCGATGTGGGTGTGCAGGGAGGCAGGCAGGTGAGGATGGCAGTTTGTGAGTGAGTTTTACCAGCTGCAGCAGACCAGAATCCTGAAACGTGACTATGGCGAGAGTTGGAAAATATATCCAGGTGCCGACTAGTGAGCAGGAAAAAAGGGTTA